TTTTGGTAAACTAAGAAATGGTAAATGAAATCGTAATTATATATTCGAATCTTTTTATTTTTATTCTAACATTTTTTATTTTTATTCCAACATTTGTATCTTTGTCTCTTTCTTCTCTCAATACGTATAGAGCATAATATTATTGTTAATTAATTGACATGAGTAGACCATAAGAGAAATGTTGTCTTCTCAATCTTAACGTGGGGATATAAAAAGCATAGCACAAACAACTTAGCTGTAAATAAACCTAGCTAACCAAAACAACAATTACTGCATAATCCAAAACAGTAGCTATGTGGGAATATAAAAAGGATATGGTGTAAATCATAAATAAGAAGGAATCACGGAAAAAAATTCTTCAATTAACAAAATTGATTACTAGTCATTTCATCAATTCTTCAATTGTTAAAACATAAAACCAGCATAACAATCATTAGTTCATCTTGATAAGGTAAATGTGCTTACTATTTGATCATAGGCATCTGTTCCTTCATTGTCTAACAGTAAAAGATTGTACTGAGTTCCATCAAGGGCAATTCTGTAATGTGGCAGTTCCTTTTGTACATGGCCGATGAGTGGATGCTACTTGAAATCCACCACTCCTACCAAGAAGCTACAATACACAAGTCCACCTCTTAGTTAATAACTAACACATGAGGTCAGTTGCAAAAATGGAATGTCATAGCAAATAACTCTAAAATGAGCTTCAACAAACAAAATTCCAGTAGACATTCATTGATAATCTACTAGTGTACATCTTAGGTAAAGGAATTGTGCATAACATCTTAAACCCATCCACTTATAACACTTGTTAGTCTTTAAAACAAATCCAAGTTAAACTATGAAAAACAGAAAGCATATTCAAGTTAAACTATTAATTTTTAATATTTTTTGGCACTTGCCTTCTCATAACAATTTTTTTCTTCTAAGATCTAACCTGAAAATTTTCAATCTTGAACATGATTAATTTTGAAATTTTAAAATAACTAACATTTAATTTATAACAAGGAACTAACTTATGGTTTTCAAAAACATAATGACTAACTTATAAAATCATAAAAAATGCATAGACTAAATTATAATTAACTGTAATTAACAATGGTAGCAAATGCAGAAAATGGTAAAAGTTTGTATAAAAATAGTAAATGACATGCAGAAAAATTACATGAACAAAGAAAGCTGGATGCATTAAATGATATTCCATATAAATGACATGTAGTATAAGAGCACAAGACCTCAAAAGGACAAAGCATTAAGGAGACCATAGTAAATAATAATAAGAACGCAACATACCGCTTTCGTGCCAAGAAGAACCCAAAGGCTGATTAATTATTGAGAAAGATAACTTGATGCCACACTTAAAAACCTACGCCATCATATTGAACAAAGTCATGTCAGGACCTAGAAATTAAAAAAAAAAAAAAAAAGTCAAATAACAAAGCAAGCATTAGGTACTGTAACAAAATGTGTAAATATCACAGATTTATATCCAAAATTCAGTAGCTGAAGCATACATGTAAATGAATTATATAGCTAGTTTCAAACCTCTTATTATATCTAGAATGCTTTTGAGTTGAAAAAAATAAAATAAAAAAATAGTTAAATTAAGGAAATTTTTAAAAACAGAGAAAGCAAAATGTATACATAAATGAAATTAAATAATGCAATTATTATATTTAATGTACTAAAAAATCATACCCCATTTCTTACTTTGTTTCTCTAACCTTTTTAAATTCTCAATGTGACTATCATATTAAAATGTAATTAAGAGCATTTTAGATTAAAAAAATAGTTAGGCTTTGGGATCCTGCATCCTTATGGGTGGGTTGCTAGTCTAGCTAGGCAAGGTGAGAATAATGGGCATTAATTAGAGGGAAGGAAGGATTAAAAAGAAAAATTAAATACTATCTAACATTTAGCTAAACTGAATTAAAAGCCTACCACCTAAACCATTTGGTGATAAAAAAACGTTTCCAAATCATGCATGCTGACCTCAAGACAAAACAATCAAGTGAAAACAGACAACATATATAGCTAATGTAGGAAATTAATTGAACACCATGCAAGGAGGAAGCAACCATGAATTCTAACCTCATTCACTACACAATTCTACTATTTATATATATATAATAAGTAAAATGACAAGAAAACAAAGAATGAATGAAGATATAAGAATAAAACAGCAATCTTATTAATGAAACACAACATCAACAAGCAAGTTTCTTTATGTGTGTATATATATATATATATATAAAAGCATATGAATACATTCAAATCACCTAAGTGTTGGCGCACAGGAGGACAAACAGACTTGCAGACATCAAAGAACACTCAGCATCAATAATAGTAATTGTTAAAAATTAAATTGGGGGTTTTGATAAATTTTCAATTAAACATGCATAATTTCTATAAATCACTCTCTTCCAAACACAAGAATTGTCAGCATTGGTCAAGTTGCATAAAATCATTGAATTTATGAACCGTAACCCTAAAAATTAATGTGGGGGTTTTCATAAAATTTCAATTACACATGCATAATTAGGTTATAAATCATGGTAAAAACATTTCATAAACCTTATATTATCGAATTAATACCCTAAAACCATTATTCAAAGTATTGGAAAAAGAATTGTTACCTGTGTTCTTCAGTTACAGATGAGGGAGATGGATCAACATTAAAAAATAACACCTGAGATTAGAAAATTTAGGTTAGAATTGTTTAGTGTAACTTCAATTCCAACAAAAAAAAAACAAAAACCCTAAATTAGTTACCTGAGCTATTGAAGAAAAAAGTGCAAAACCTAACCCCTTTACAGAGAAGGGGTAAATCAGGATGTTTGAAGGTGATGATGATGGGTCTGGTGCGATGTTGCCATGGGTCTGTGTTTTTATTGGTTTATATAGAAATATTGAAACTGTTAAGATGAAGAAGAAGAAGAAGATAAAGAAAAGAAATTAGGGATGCTAAAAATGAATGCGAAGATGATGAACAGTTTGGGATAAAAGAAGATGAAATTGATGAAAAGAGGGTGATTTTTCAACAGTTAGGGATTGATATTGTTATTAGAGACGAAGGATATACTGGAAGAGTGAAAGTGAATTAATTTTCAGTTATAAATGGTTTTGTTGTTCTCTATATTTCAGTATAGGGAGAGAAAGTGAAAATAAACAATTTAGATTTTATACAATCAACGATCTACATAATTTCAGTTTTATATTAATATTTAAATTTTTATTTTTTCAATTAGCAACGGAAAATCTATTACTAAATTCAATATAAATTTTGCAACGACTTATCCGTTGCTAAAATCCATTGTTAATATTACAAAAATAATATCTATATAATCCGTTGCAAATCTGTTACTGAATTTAGCAACGGATATATCAAACGGGAAGATTTTGTATTTCTGGCTAATTCTGTTTTCACTCTGTCTCTCTGGTTTCCTACGGTGAAATCAATGAATAAATCCTCGTTGCTTCGATTTGCGCAGCAAGATTGTCCTTGTCAACCTCCACGAACTATGTCTGCTTCCCTTCGCAGCGTTAGGGCTCAGAATCGGGGGAATTCCCTCGCCATGCAGGATAAGCCGACTCTTGACCTAGCAGCATCTCCCTCACGGCGCCTGACCCTCCGTGTTCTGGCTCTGG